AACTTGATATGGGCTTTTTTCCAGGTGGTTTTTTGCAAGGAAAAATGGATATTGCGGATTCTTAAATTTCCCTACTTTTGGATTGAAAGCTTGCAAGCACACGTATATACTTGTATTTCCTCTCTACATAAATCTCTATTTGTCTACTTTATTTATATTAATAAACATGTTACTGGTCATTTTAGTTATTGGGTTTTGTAGATTTTTCTTTAATTTTAGCACTACTTTGGTTGGATCAAATATATATTGATTGAAAAATATTTTTGATAAGGAATAGACATGGTAATGAAGAATATATATTTTTTCCTTCTTCTTCTTATAATTTTGGAGTTCCAACATTGCTATTTGTATTTTGTAAAAGTCATTTTTTAAATAAATCTAGAAAATGCATCCTTAAAAATCATTAATCATTTTAAAAAGAAAATGTATTTTAGATTGTGCGGTAAAAACACCTATGTTAAATCTATTGGAGTTTGAAAATGTGTGCGGGATATTATTATCCCTAGGCATACATGTGACTTTGTGCAATGTATTATTATTATTATTGTTAAGTATTCGAGTGTACTTTAGAGTGGTAAATATCTCATATTAAAAAAAAAATTAAGAAAAGCAAGATGTTTATATATAAAATTGATCCATAATTTATTATTTTAGATTTTAGATTAAGATAATGTCTATTTTTTATGTATAAATCATCATGTTTACGAATCTAAATAACTTTCCAATGCATATCTTTCCAACAACGTGTTATTAGAAAATTAGTAATTAGATTCTATTTTTGTTTTTTTTCCATATTTAGTGTTATTGGAATTTTTATTTTTCTTATTTAAAGAGTTGTAATAGAATTTTGATAAAAAAAAAATTGAGATATTTGTTTTTTTTATAGCTTATACGTTTTTTTAATGGTTATGGGTTGTGCGCATAGGGTTTTTGCCAAGGTAGGAATTTTTATTTATTAGGTGTGTGGATGATGTTTATATAAAGAGTGACGACTTGATATTCCTCTTTATATGTATATGTGTGTGTGTGTGTCTAGCTATCTATCTATCTATATATATATATATATATATATATATATATATATATATATATATATATATATATATATATATATATTGTGCAATTTAATAATGTGAATATTTTCATTAAGTTTGCATAATTCTAAAACTTTAATGATATTTAAGTTAATTACTTACATTATTTGTTTTATTTTCCTAACATACTAGGTGCTAAAAAATGCCGCGAGATAGAGAAGAAAGAATAGAACAACAACTACCTCCAAGTGCGGACATTGGATGGAAATTTGCTATTTCATTGGATGGTAGTACAAGCAAGCTACAATGTAAGTACTTGTGGAAGGGTGATTAAAGGAGGAATCACTCGTATCAAAGAGCATATAGCTCATAAGAAAGGAAATGTTACTAGTTGCTTAATTGTTCCCAATGATGTTAGAAAAGATATGATGAAAGTCTTAAATGATTACAAAGTCACGAAACAAGATAAAGTCATCGGAAAAAGCTTCGGGATGAGATTATGGATTCTCTTATCGAGAACAAAGGGATGCCGGTGATGATGAAGATGAAGAGCTCATGTCTTATGCAAGACAAGAGAGCATCATGCAATATGAGATGGACAATTATAGAGCAAGCGAGAGGAGATTTATATGAAAAGGGTTGTGGTTACGGTTCTAGAAGAGGACAACATCAACAAGCTCCTATCATGCGTCGTTCAAAAAGTTTGCATGAAAGAGCTAGTTCAAGAAGACGACATAGTGGTGTTCCATCAATCCCTCCACAATCAATTTCAAGGGAACGCTTGGAAAAGTTGCAAGAAGATGAAGTGGTTTTGCAAAAGACTACGAAGGAAAAAAAAGTCAATAAGTTCTCGGTTATATAAAATTGGGAAAGCAACATTAAGAAGAGCAATTGGACATTTTTTTGTTCATGAGCGAATCCCATTCAATGCTTGTGGAATCTCCTTGGTTTTCAACAATGCTTAAAACTCGTTGTTGAAGTTGGTTCCAAAATTCCACCTCCTAGTGCTTATGATCTTTCGGAGGTGTATTTGACGAAGAGATGACAAATATGAAGAACTACATCAAAGATTATGAAAATATCCGAAATGAGAGAGGTGTCACAATCATGTGTGATGGATGGTACGGACCGACTAAAATGCACATCATCAATTTTTTGGTTTATTCAAATCGAAACATGGTGTTCATCAAAGCAATTGATGCATCAAATGCGCTAACAAAGGATGCTGAATATTATTTTGGGTTGATGAAGAAAGTGGTGGATGAAGTTGGTGAACATAGAGCGGTCCGGATAGTGATCGACAACGAAGGCTGCTATGATAGGCTACGGGGAAAAAGTTAATGCGGGTTTGTCCTCACTTATATTGGTTAGCTTGTTACGCTCATTGTTTGGATCTAGCTTTATAAGACATTGGAAAAAAATCAAAGGTCAAAGAAGTGCTTGAGAAGGCCAAAAAAATTACCCAATTTATTTAAAATTATAATTGGGTAGTTAATTATATGAAAAAATTTACTAATGGGTGTGACTTACTTCGACCCGCCATCACTAGATTTGCCACCAATTTTGTTGCTTTGGAAAGCATTGTTAAGTTTAAGAATGCACTCGAGGAGATGTGGGAGTCGAAGCTTGGAATAATTCTTGATATGGGAGGATGAAGGATCAACTTGCTATCGACGTTCGCATATTAGTGCTGTAAGAAGATCCACAGGAAATAAGATTCCGGAATAAGGCGGGTGAAGTGATAGCCATCGAAGAGCCAATTGTAAAGGTTTTGAAATTTGTGGATAGTGATGACAAACCGACCATGAGGTTTATCTATGAAGCAATGCAAAGAACAAAGTCAAAAATCCAAGCAAGTTGTCGATATTCAAAAACATGGTGCGACATAATTGATAAACGATGGGAATTTCAATTACATATAGACTTACATGCGAGTTGGTAAGTATATAAATTTATATAAATTAATCATAACAATATAAAGATATCTTCAATTATTATTTATACTTAAATATAATTTAGAAGTAATGTTATTTACTCTTTTCTTGTAGGTTATTTTTTGAATCCCCAATATCATTATGTACTCCGAGAGAATCCAATTTATCAAGATTAAAAAATCATGCAAGGTGTTAGAAATGCAATTATGAGATTGGAACCCGACATTGATAAGTAAATCAAAGCCATCAATGAAGTAAGTTAAATAATTTTGTGAATTGTGATAACATAAGATGCTAAAAATATTTAATATCATATAATATCTATTATAATATTATTAAAATATTTGTTAATTTAAATATGCGAGTTGGAATTGTATAGTTTGGAACAACAAACATTTGGTTTAACCATAGCTCGAAGGTTGTGTATTTAACAAATCTAGGTACTTTATTAATTTATAAAATTTCATATTGTAAACATTATTGGTGTTATTTTTTAAAAAATTTATGAAATTTTATTTGTTCAATGTAGCTGAGTGGTGGAATAGTTATGGAAATGATGCTCTAATGCTTAGAAAGATTGCAATGCGGATTTTGAGTCAAACAACTTCCACTTCAAATTGTGATAGAAATTGGAGCACTTTTAGCTTAGTGCATACGAAGATAAGAAACGAGGTTGAAGTAACAAAAATTACATACACTTGTCTATCTTCATTACAACATGAAGCCGAGGTTAAGAAATACATTGCGGAAGAGTCGAAAGAATTAAGAGAAAGTTTTAATCCAATCAATTTGGATTACATGTTTTATGAAGATGATCCACTATCTCCTTGGTTAGAGGAAAATGAACAACCGATCCTCGATGGACAAAATATGGATTGGTTACATGTGCATGATGATGATAGCGATAATGACGGTGGTGATGACAAGAACGATCATAACAATTCTAATGATCAAACTAATCCGCATGATAGTGATAATGGTGATAATGATGATCAAGATGCGGAACCAAGTGATATGGGAGCTTCTCATAGCAACAATAGTAGCGAGTAGCAATGATGGAGGTCATGGAAAGGGAATAGCTTTTGATTACGGTGTCAATCCAATTCTATATAGACATGGGTTATATGGTTCTACCGCACCTAAATTTGATGCTAGAAATAAAGCACCAATAATAGAACAACATCAATCGAGTGGTACCATACTTGCATGATCAAGGACATCACTCTGTCTCCTCTAAAGATAGTTTGACTTCTAACTTCAATTATGGTCGAGGACGATACTACCACTCATAAGGTGCACAAGTATATGGTTATGTATTTTATGATTCATATGAAACTTCATCGGACCAGTCAATTTCAAATCTACAACATCCTCAAGAAATTGGATCATCTATTCGTCGCTTCATTATTTGGGCAATTGGGTTTGGAAGGATAATATAGTTATGATTGTAATTTTAATAGATCGGGATCACAACATCAACAACAAGATGATAACTATTATTATGATCCTCCACGACGATCTTTTTGGAGATGAATATTTTGTAATGTGTATATTGAAATTATAATGTATTTTATTATTTTTCATATGATATTAATCTATTGAAAGTGTTATTACTTATTTTTTATAATAAATTTAACTATTGTTATATGTTATTAAAAATTTAAAATATTAGAGATATGATTACTTATTATTAAGTTTAATTAGTAAAAATGTCAATAATTGTGAATTAGAATAATTTTATTACCGAGTTGCTAATATATTTACATAATTAATTGCCTCGATCGTTATTTTACGACCACGATGAGCCGCAACCCGCGATCGTGATCGCGATCGTTTTTTCAACCGCGACCGCTATTTAAAACTATGATCAGAACCTGTCAAGATGCAAGCAGTTTAATCTGATTTCCTTTTTCAATTATCGTAAGAGATACATATTCCTCCCTTTTGCGGTATCATATAATACATGAAGTTACAACAACTAAATACAATTACACGAAAGTGATAATGATTTAGTACAAGCATCCTCGTTTTGTCAAGACAATAAATTACTCATTTCTATAAACCTTTGAGCTTCCCTAGTGCGACCGGAACGGTTAAGAAGTCCAATGATGATAGCATAATGTTCTTCAGATATCTTAACTTTATATCTTTCAGACATTAGTTTGAAGATTCTGCAAGCATCATCTGCGAATCCGGCTTGCTCACAAATTGATACAACCACTTTGAAAGTGAAATCATTAGGAGTGAACCTCGTTCTCATCTCATCAAAAAGTTTGATTGCATCTTGCCATAGCTTATTATATCCATATGCCTCTATAATGGCCGTCCATGTCATTGAACCTTTGACAGGAACGGCATTGAACACTGATTTTGCACTAAGAACGAATCCGCAACTCCCATACATCTTGACAAGTTCAGCTGAAACAAAAGGAATGGATTCAAAATCTTTCTTCAAAATATGTCCATGAATCTCTTTCCCAAGCTTCAACGCTTTAATTTCACTGCAAATACACAACATCCTTGCAATTGTAACAGAGTCTGGCCTATGCTTTGACCACTGCATAAACCTGAATACGTTAAATGCTTTATATGTGCACCCATTTTCTACATATGAATCGATCATGGCTGTCCATGCGATCACATTCCTATCCTCCATACCATCAAACAACTTGACACTATAATCCAAAACACCACACTTTGAGTACATTTTTATCAGAGAAGTAGTTAAAGATACATTTGGCAAGTACAATTTCTTGACAGCAAATGCATGAATCTCCTTACCATGCTTCAGAGTCTTCAACTTGGCACAAACCGGAATAACAGTTGCAACCGTTACGACATCAGGCCTACACCCTTCTTGCTGCATCCAAACAACTGATCTCAAAGCCTGCTCAAGCCTCCCATTAGACGCATACCCAGACATCAAAGCAGTCCAAGAAATAGCATTCCTTTCCCGTGATCCATAAAACACACGCCTCCCCGAACCCATGTCCCCACATTTGCAATACATATCAATTAACCCTGACTGAATCGTCAACTCCCTTGAATAACCCTTCGTCTTCAAAAGATAGCAATGAACCTCCTGGCCTAATCTCCTCGCCCATACTTCTCCTATCACAGGAAGAATTGTAGTTATGATAACCGAATTCGGATACATCCTTTCAATAGCCATCCACCTAACACAATCCAATGCTTCCCATTGACGCCTGTTGTGTGCAAATCCAGCAATTATCGCACCCCATGCAACAATATCTCTTTCATGCATTTCTTCGAACATATTATGCGCAAGCCTAACTTTTCCACATTTAAAATACATGTCAATCAAACTAGTCTTAAGAACTGAACTACTTATCATTCCATTCTTTATCATAATAGCATGTGTTTTAAACCCTTGTTTAAGTGCCGAAGCGCCTGCGAAACTCTTAATGACATTGGAGAAAGTATACTCATTCAATTCAACACCATTTACTCTCATTTCTTGATAAGCAGTAAGCACGTCCCCATATCTTTTTTTACCTGATATCACAGTCCCTCTAATCAAGGCATTCCATGGATACACACTAGCGGTAGAAGTACATTTATCAAACACCCTTTTGGCATCTTCAATAGAACCACAAGAAATGTACATGTGGACCAGTTTTGTACGCAAGAACTCGTTGCTTTCAAGTCCATTTATGCGTAAATGTGTATGTATTTCTTTCGCTTTGGTTAATGATTTTGCTCGAATGCAAGCAGCTATAAGGGCAGAGAAAGTGGTGGGGTTAACTGGGATGCCTTGTTGGTCCATGTAGTCCATAATGGTAAGTGCTTCTTTGAGCTGGTTTTGCCTGGCAAATCTTCGAATGTCTTTGTAAATGGCTAGGGGATTTTTCTTGTGGAGTGGTAATGATGCTGGAAATGCATCTTTTTCATCGAATTGTTGATGTTTTTTGGAGAATTTTTTGTTGGGGATTGTGGGGTTTTGGGTTTGGATTGGTTGGGTTCGTGTAGAGGATTTGATTTTGGAGAAGTGTTTGTGGATGTTATTGTTGTGGTGGTTAAGAGAATTTGGAGGGGGAAAATGGAGGTGAAGAGAAAGAGGGGATTGCGTAACTTCCATGTCCGGTTTCCCTGTTAGAAAGCAAAGAGAGGGGCCTTCTTGTAAGCCTATGCTTCAAGCCTTCAACGATCAAATTCGAGCGACTCACATGAGAAGACATGAAACGACAAGAGAAATTCTACAATGCCATTTGGATAATCCAAATTCCAAATACGTTGATGATATTGAAAAATTGAAAATTACAAAAATCAGCTTATAGACGATACATAAATTTTTTTTGTATCTATAAAACTTTAAAACAAGGGAACATTGCTTTGTTTACTTCCACAAAATAGATTTTTTAGTTTTCTTATTTTTTCTAAAAAGATTTTAATTTTACAAAATTTAAAATAAAGGCTAATTTAGCTTCTTCTTTTTTTAAAAAAAAAAAATTCAATATGTGGACCAAACAATTGTCCTTTTTTTTTTTTTTAATTGTGGAGATTTGGAAAACAACTATTTTGATGTTTTCTAATTTTTCAAAGATTTGAAAAATTAAAAAGCACTTGTTTTCAAGAAAATAGTGTTTATTTTCAATTATTAAATTGTGCTTTCCACAAGTAAACATAATTTTTGATATTAAAAAACCTCAAAATATATCCCTTACTTAACACTGTTAACTCATTGATTTTTTTGGTAGTAAAATTTTATTTTAGCATTAAAACAAAAAACATGAATTTGAAAAAAAAAATTATTTTACAATTGTTTAATTTGCAAGTTTTTTTGTGTCTCTCAATTGAAAAAACTTTGTACACAAAACTAAAAGATAGTTGGATAATAGTCTATTAAGGACTAAAAGATAGTTGGATATAAGGATGTTTACGGATGATCCTATAGCTGTGCTGCTACTTCTATTAATTATGCTTTTTAGTATTCTATTGAATAAAATAACTAAATCAAGCAATTTAAAATTGGTTTGCAACAATTCACATAAAGTTTACAAAAATAATTATTCATAATAATAATGATCTTAAATGAGCAATTCAAATATCTTAAACTAATTTGAAATCAAAATAACAAGTTTAAACTGAAAATTACTAGATTAAATAGCCTATGCACAAGAAAAGACAAGATCACAAGCTTAACATTGTAAAAAATCTAAATAGAAACTTACATTTGCTGTTGACAAAGAGTGTTTGTAACTAGGTACTCTAGGCATGTCAACTCTTTAATATCACGGACTGTGGATATAGGACAAAAATAAAAAACTAATCTATCAGTCTACTTGATTATAGCGTGTTTGATTGTAACATATAGATTACTACTTACAAGCTACAACTTAACAAATTTTAAGTGTGTTGAAACCTTTTTTTTTTTTTTTTTTTTAGAAACAAGGATGATACCTTGATAAGTTTTATTAATAAAAAATAAAAGAATTACAATAGGGGACATACTGCCTTAACCCAAACTTGGGGGATTAGGAAACCTTACCCTTAAACATCTAAATTAAACTTGATAGATATAAAAACCAAGTTTATCTTTCTTACAAGATATCTGAACATTTAAAGCAAGATCCATATAATTGCTAAAAATGCATTTGATCTAGATGCGTGTAAGCATAATTAGATAATCTATCAGCTATACTATCGTACTATCCAAGAACCTAAGAAATAGAATGCGTCGTCAATAATTTCTCACACTACCATAATTCCTGTTCATACCACCATGGTTTAGAGATTCTATGCTGTACTACGTCTACCACCCCCCAAAGAATCAATTTCTACTAAAACTGATTTAATATTTAAAACTCAACAAATCAAAAGTCCATCTTGATGAGCCTTTATCTCCCCATACATATTTGTTCCTGCTCCATAATAGTTTGCCAAACTAGCAAATCATTCCACCCTAACCGTTCCAAATAATGCCACCTCTCGTACAATATCCATTATTTGAAGATCCATTTGTATTAAGTTTCGAAGTACCCACCGTTGAAGGGTGCCATTTTTATCATAAATCCCTTACAGACATAACCAACAACAAAGGTAAACAACATTGCATAGTTTTGCTTTTACCTTATAGACTGCACTCCTTTGACTTATACACCACACACAAGTCAATAGGTGTGAATATATCCAATTTTTAACCAAATCTACACTTATTAGAACATCATCATAGCGTGCCTGAAACCTATTTTTCCAAATTTTCCATAGGATAAAAAACATATAGCAACTTGGTACATACCTGCCTGATTTTTTGTACTACACAACAATGAGTTTATAAGGTTTGAGCTAGAAATGTACCTCGCCTTCACTAGAAATATTCAGCCATAATGTCTCCAACGATGCACATCAATCTTCGAATGTAACAACATATGTTCAAATGATTCCTCCTTATGAATATGAAAACAATGACACATCGAGACTATAGGTATCTTTAGGACTTTGCCATTACTATCCATAAGTATAGCCTAATATATCCACCTTTAAATGAAACTACTCACCTTTACTGGTATGTTAGGTGCCCATACTTTATTACACAATGGAACTGTTGGATGGTGATTACTAAAAGCTTCTTAATACGCCTCCGTAATAAATCGTCTCGATTTTGAAAGTGTAAAAACCTTCTTATTACTTATATTGTCATCCCATTGATTATTTTTTACCTGATCCTGTAAATGAATAGGGATGTACTCCATAAATTCTTCTATGTCTTATGAAGCTTTATTTACGGTTAAGGTTCTATCTAGAGGCAACGCAGTTGTAAATCAAACCCACACCAATTAGTAGTCTAGAAAGGAATATTACTGTACCCGACCACCCACCTGCTACTGTCTCTTAAAAACTAAAAATATTTTTCCACTGATTACCAAATTAGAGAAGCTATCCATCTTGTAAACTATGAGAATTTCCCATAATTTGCTTCTGTAAAAGAAGCCCATAAACTATTTCTTTGCATACATGACCACGCTAACTTTGCTTGAAGAGCCTCCATGACTTGTTTGAAGCTACGAATTTCCAAGCCTCCCTCTCTTAATGGAAGATAAACAATCTCTCAATAAATCTAATGATGACATTATTCCCCTGATGAACTCTATAAAAAGTCAGCCATAAGTTTCTTCATTCATCTCAAAGTTGTGTGTGTGAAAGGGACAGCAGCTAAAGCATGTATTGGAATGCTATCAGTATTGATTTAATAAGTGTGATCTTTGTGTCAAAAGATAACAACTTAGACTTCTAGCCAATGATTTGTTTGGACAATGTCCTGAAAACAAACCTTTCGAATTCTGCTCGTAGCCATTGGTACGCCTAGATACTTTATAAGAAAATAGAACTATGAGCAACCAATTCACGTTTGAATTTGACCCAGATGAGATTGAGAAAGCCATGAAGGGTATAGTAACCACTCTTTGTTACATTCATAAGTCGTCCCAATGCTGCCTTATATTTGGAAAGTAAGCCTTTCAAGTTCAACAAAGATCTTTTCTCTCCATTTGTAAAAAGTAATGTGTTTTCTGCATAGAACAACTAGGAGATAGGGTTATTTATTCCCTTTACTTGGAAAGCTTTAATGTGATGACTTCCATTAGCTCTTTGTAAGTTATGAGATAAAACGTGCTAAACTAAAACAAACAGGAGAGGAGAAAGAAGATCCCCTTGTCACAATCATCTACTAAACCTAAAGAAACTGAATCCACACCTTTGTATCCTGATTGTATACCATATGTTACTAATGCAATGATACATCGAATCACATCAGGTCTCATTTTCATGAAATGAAAGGTCATTCTACTCGATCATATGCTTTTGACATATCAATTTTAAAAATAAGATTACCATCACTGACCTTCTTGTTCAAATCACTTACCATTTCCTAAGCCAAAGAAATATTCTTTGTGATACTCCTCCTATCCTTTCTGATGGGCTTACAATAATGTTAAAATCTCCTCCAATTAATCAAGATGTTGTAACTGAATCAATATATGCTGTAAAGCATTCCAAAGTTCCTATCTTTCCACCCTCTTACATTTAGCATACACAAAGGTGCACATAACCTGCAGCCACCCCTGAGACCTCAATAGCATTGTGACAAATTGAGTCCCAATCTCTACATTTTGTATAACTATCATGTCATACCAAAATAACCAAATTTGAGAATTATTTGGAATGTGTGTTGAAAGTTTTATAAATTTAATCCTCTAGGCTACTGCATTAATTATACTCCCATCCATCTTAAGTTCAAGAATAACAGCAAAACTAGATTATACCGAGTCTTTAAAGACTTAATGTAATTAATAATAGTTGTATTACCTATCCCACAAACATTCCAAGTGATGATAGCCATTAAGAATGATTTGTTTGGAGTTGGATTGTGCTTTTAAAGTTGTTCTCATGTCTGACGTTTCACTTTATGAACTAATTTGGTAAAACGTTTATAAAAGTTGTGAATCTCCTCTAAATCAAAACGTTCCAAATCTGTAGAATTTAATGAAGCCTTTTTGTTCAAAATAGGTTTGTTATTACATCGTTGTCTTTGATGTCATTTGACACAATCCATGCCATAACCTCACAACTTCATCTACTGTATCTCTAACATGATCAACCTCCCCAAGAGGCTATATTTATTCTGAATAGTAATTTTCTTCATGCAATCTGATAGATCCTCCTTTAAATCATTTTTTGGTAGCTGTTCGCATGACTTAGCCCCTGCTACTAACTCATGCATTTTGTCTATTTGACTTATATTCCCCTTGTGTCTTTGTGTTTGTTTGAACCCTATGTATTTCACCATCAATAAGTACAATGTGATTTTTCATCCCTATCGATGTAGTGGCTTTAGCAGGCTTATTGGTCAATCCCTGATGCACTTGATTCCCAATAGGTACCCAAATATCCTGACCATTTAGAGACTGCAATGATGCATTTCCCTTTATCCTTACCAACACCTCATGTCTTTATTGCTTTCTGCATATCAGTATCATTAACCTGAGTGATTGGTTATTGAAGAGCTGTATGAAGATTCTTTGTATGAATAACTTCCACTTGGTTAGTCTGCTCTTGTTCCTTTCGTATAACCTTAACCATTGTTTTTTGTAGAACATCTTTACCCGAGACTTCTACTCGTTCCACCTGCACTGCCATTGGCCTATGCAACTATTACCTAGTCTTATTATGATAATTTCCAACCATATGGCTAATTAAACCACATCCTTCATGGAAAGAAATATTGCCTTCATATTCCACTCATTGCCAAGAATCGTGGTCTTTCATTATCCCTAACCACACTCTAGATGGAACCGGTCTGTCTGGACATAGGGTGAGTAAGTTGCAAAGTTTTGTCATCTACTAGTAAAAGCTGACCAATTATTCCTCTCTCACCGCAAATAAGATGGAGTGAAGAATGAAAAAAGCAGATGCGGTAGACAAACCTAAACTGCAACCTGTGGACATTCTTTACGAACACAAAATTTGAACTCCATCGAAATAAATGATACATACAGTTCAATATCTTATGGTCTTCAAATGAAAGAGGGCGTAATCATATTTGATTCATTACCAAGATGAACCCTTACATGCTTGGGATCAAGTAATCCAATTACAGGTTCTCCTATCAGATTTTATGACTGACGAATATGACCCTGAATGTCATTGATAGAAGGTCTGCCATTAGAGAATTTTAAGATAATTTTATATTGAAACTAATTTGCAGTAGTCTCCAATTCAACCGAAGAGAATAAACATGCTGGTTCGCCATTGATGTGTACTTGAGGTCTTGGTATAAGAGACAAATCCGTTAATATATATAGGAGTGCAAAATTATGGAGATGATGACTTTGTTGATATGACAGTTGTATAGTTCACTACTGTGGGTTGTGAGACTCTACCCGATTCTTGATCCTACAAAGGGATATGCGACGATCTTTATGTAAATGATTAACCAATGCTTGTTGTTGTTGTTATATTGGATTATGGTTACTTGTTCCTGTCACTGTTATAAACACCTTGGGCAAAGTCGCTGTCCCATGATTTGGTTGTGAGTTTTTAGTGGCTGGTTGATTACTAAAGTTGGTTCGTATAGTTGAAAATGATTGAATAGGAGTGAAATCCATATTTGATCGTGGATCTGTCTCATTTTATGGTGGCATAGTCACACAAACCTATGGAAAACCCTAAGGGCAATGACGGTTTGGAAAAATTCAAAATCCTGGTAAAGAATTTTTAGAGATCTAACTAGCTTTTTCTCTCCTTTACCATTTGGCAAAATCTATCCAGATTTGGTATTCTTACCAAATTAGCATCGTCTCTTGTTCCTCTCTTGTTTTCTTAAGTTTTTCAAGGCTAGAACCCTAGGATTGAAAGCCAAAACTCTCCCTCTTTTCTTCCCTCTTCTTCTTCTTCTTTTCTATCTCACGGCATCACTCCTCCCTCTCACCCAAATCAGTTTGGGTCTTTGTATTCTTAATGTTTTACTAGATTGGATTTTTCCCAAATAGTTTGTTGAAGCTTGAGATAGTGCTTTAGGAGCTGTTTATAATTTGCAAGTCACGTTTGTTTGTATATTGTATTATGTGTTTTCCTCTTATTTCAGCTTGTATTTGTAGGTTTCTTACTCTTGCATAGTCTTTCTTAGTAGGCACATTTTTCTGTATTTTATCATGTGTCTCTACAACGGTCCACATCTCCTTGCAACTACCAGTATGTATTGCAATACCTTATATTTCTTTATTGTGTCTTCATTGTGTCTTTCTCATGTTAAATTTTTGTTGAATATTTGTTAAGTATGTTATTGAATGTTTTCTTAGTTATTAGTATTATTACTCTTTCAGTGTGTTCAATAGCAACTCAATCTTATCAAAAGTTGCCCATGATCTTCTTAAAAAGTGTTGCATTCGTTGTTCTCTTTCCAAACCTTTCTAGCCATGTACTAGGTTTCCAATCAATTAGGCGTGAGTTTGGTAATTGGGGCTTTAGTCAGAGTGTGAAACTAAATATGATATTGAGTCTCAATTAGACGTAGGTCTAGCCATTTTTTCTGTTAATTTAATGGGTTGTCTAGTCCAACACAAATTTAAATATCTTTCTTTCTCAATGAGAAGGTCTTTCTCATATGTAGAAAGAAATAAATTTTTGGCACTCAATTACTCATTCTTTTAGTTTTTAAGATATAATAAGCACTTTGGATTGATTTGTTACATTCTGTCTCTTCACTTATTTGCTTATGTTGTAGTGATCATGAACAATATTCAATACTTATCTCATCACTTTGCAACTTTCATTTCCTTAACTTTTCTACAAACCAAGTCTTTCCCTGATCTTTGCCAATTTCTAAGGTTTCTTTCTCCTTTCCATTAGTCACGCAACCATTGTCTCCATAATTTTTGCCTTTATTAATCCATTACAACACTTATAGCCCTTAAGAAATTTACTCCTACTTCCTCCAAAGCTAGAATTCAAGAATTGTTCTTCCCATTCTGATCACTTTTTCTACTATTGTTCAATTTGGCTTCTTTTGTGATTCTATTAGTCCTCCTAGTCTTTCTTTAGTACTTTTATCTCTTCTTTCTCTTTATTAGGGAAAATTACTAGTGGACATCCGTAAGACTTCGCTCTCCCTCATGATCACATCTTTGGACCATTTTTATCATAATTCTAGTCACAAGGTGATCATCCCTAAAGCAAAAAACCTTTTGGAAGATTTGATTCTTGATTTGGGTGTTAAAGTACTCTAACATGTCACGATTTTTGGCATTAACTAGAACCATTTTTTTAGTTATTCTAAGCATTATTTAAGAACATGACCTAATAATTTGCTTGAAATTCATGCTCTTTATATATTTTAAAGAGCTAACCACATATTCAAGTAAAATGAGCAAGGATGGTGGTTAGAGAGACTGTTTGACCTTACTTTAGATTGTACCCCAAATGATAAACCCTCTCTTATTGGGGTTGTTATCACATTGTGGGAAATAAGTAACAATTGTATCCATACATGAAGGCACCCTATGGATATGATAGTAGAGGTTGTAATCTCTTTGAGAAGGTTTTCTCTCTTTTAAGAATTGATCTATATAGTTCCAAGCCTCTACTCGTCAATGACATAGACTATAAAATATAGCTTCTCAAGGTGGTGTTTATGTTAAATCGTATGCCATCTATGCTTAGGATTTTTTGCATTCTAAATAATGTGATTATAAAAAGCTAGGTTTCTACTTGTTATGGCTTTGCAAGTTTATGGTTTGTTGTAGGAGTACAATTGTGAGCTCCAACCATCTTATGATTGATGCTCCTTTTAAGTGCAATGAACCCGTTGCTTTACCTCCTCTTCTCCTTGCATATGCTAATCATAATATACATCAAAACTCTTCGGTTCATTGAGGTTAGTCATTGTTCGGGCTATTGCTTATTTTCTTAATATAGTTTCTAAGTCCGCACATTTTAGTGATGTTTAGGTTTTTTTAAACTTATGGCCATTATTTTAGTTCCTACTCCTCTCTTGTAAATGAGTTTAGTTAGGAGAATCGCTTATATGCAATTTGTTTTGGGACCTTTTCTTCTACTTCTTCGATTCATTTTTCTTTAAAGACACATGGCCCTAAATTGTACAAAGTTTGTATCCTATAAAGTGTCCTAGAAGGGGACAACTAAGATTATTGGAATGTTGTACTTTCTTATAAAGAAATGCCCTTCTTTATTATTGGTAATTTCTTTATGAAACCCTACTTTCTCAACTTTTATCTACACAATTTATCCTCTCGCCGGGAGATTCCTATTCCTTTTCTCACTATACATAATTATTTAAGGCACCTTAAGAGTCACATTAAGGATAATGAGGTTTTGAGTCTTATGAGTCACGTCCCGAGGAGGTCCGCAATGTCGGGAGGAATGACAAGCTTAGATAAATAAATTTGAAGAAAAAGATTAAAGGTCACTAGTATTAAAGGTTACTAGGAATCAAAATAATTGGTTTACATAGAGATCTACGATAAAGGATTACATATAGGAAAGATATAAATTACCCTATTCCATCTTGGTTAAGAAAATCTACATTGCATATACATTTGAATATATATATATATTTGATATGTTTGACATTAAATCAAACACTAGTCTATCAAGCAATTTGAGATTTGGCCGATCAAAGGCCTTTCTTTCACTCGAAAGTGGTCTGTCATAAAAACTTAAAAATAAAAGAAAATAAATGTCAAATAATCTTGATCGAATGAAAACCCATAATTTTTATTACATGCATGAAATGTAAACCCATGTTTTTTTTTTTTTGAAAATCATGAAATAAAAACCAACGACTTAATTTGAATGCATTAAATGAAAACCTAGAACTTAATTTAAAATGCATGAAATAAGAATCCATAAATTAATTTGATTTTTTGAAATGAAAACCCACGAATTTGATTATACGCATGAAATGAAAACCCACAACTTTAATTAAATGCATGAAATGAAAGCCCATGACATAATTTGAATGCGTGAAAAAAAAAACTTATGACTTAGTTTGAAATGCATGAAATGAAAACCTCATCTTAATTTGAATGCATGAAATAAAAACCATGGCTTAAGTTGTATGCTTCAAATAAAAACCCATAGCTTAATTTGAATGCGTGAAACAAAAACACACAACTTAATCTAAATATGTGAAATGAAAACCAAAAACTTAATTTGTATGCATGAAATGAAAACCCACAATTTTTATTATACATGTGAAATGAAAATTCACGACTTTAATCGTGTGAAATAAAAGCCCATGACTTAATTTGAATGCGTGAAATAAAAGCTTATGACTTAATTTTAAAACCATGAAATAAAAACCCATAACTTAATTTAAATGCATAAAATAAAAAACCATGACTTAATTTGAAATGCATGAAATTAAAATCCATGTCTCAATTTAAATGCTTGAAATATTTAAATACGTGAAACTAAAACAAGTGACTTAATTTGAATGCATGAAATGAAAACCACACCTTAATTTGAATACGTAAAATGAAAATCCACATTTTAAGTTAAATAATGAAATAAAAACCCACGACTTAATTTGAATGTGTGAAATAAAAATCTAGAACTTAATTTGAAATGTATTAAATGAAAACTTGTCTTAATTTGAATGCATGAAATATAAACCCATAACTTCACCTAAAATGCATGAAATGAAAATTCAAGGCTTCATTTATAATACATGAAATGAAAAGTCATGACTTTGCCTATAATACGTAAAAAAGAAAATCATGACTTCATTCATAATGTGCTAAATGAAAACTCACAACTTCACCTAAAATGCATGAAATAAAAACTCATGACTTCACTTACAATGCATGAAATAAAAACTCACTATTTCACTTGTAATACTTGGAATCAAAACTCATGACTTCACTCATGATATGTGAAATGAAAACTCACTACTTTACCCGTAATATGTGAAATAAAAACTCACAACTTCATCTATAATGCATGAAATGAAAACTTATAACTTTACTTCAAATAAAAACTCATGACTTCATATAAAATGCATGAAATAAAAAACTCACGACTTCACTTATAATACGTGAAATAAAAATCACGACTTAATGTGACATCATTATCAAAAAGATATTTCCACACAAGCATTTGAGTTTCACACAAATTCATTAGTATCAATTCACCCATAAATTTGCAATATAGATAAGTTTACATATCAATTTGAACATTGCAAATTCAACACAAATTTCAAACCAAAAAATGATATGCATCATATCGGTATCAACACTTACCCAATCACATCCTCCTAACTCTATTATAAAGCATTGAATCCTACCTCATTTACCTCAACATACCTAGAGGTCTCAAACTCCTAGAATTTGATACGCAGTAACATATCTCAACACTTCACAATAATTGATCACATTATAATTAATATATATTTCATATCAAATCATAATTATTTTAAATATGATTAGAAATTATGTAAATGAATACTACCAGTTTAGAAAAAAATTTACCTAACACTTATGACAAGACCATGACGAGCTACTAGAGATGTCGATTATGCCTTTATACAAAATTACAAAAATACCTTCATGGTTAGTTTTGCTTTCTTCAACTCGATGATGACTTTGGTAATCATAGTCAACCAATGAAAAAAAATTAATTGATCACCTGGATAGAAACAAATTATCCACCTTTTATCCTTCTATTTAGGGAGTTACCTAAAGCTAAAATCTAGCAAAAAAAAAAAAAGAAACACGGATTGCGAATTAGCCTACTACCAAACTAGAAATTTGGGTCTTAAAGCTGTTTTTGCTTCATTCGACTTTCGTCACCTATTTTCTTTATTATTTATGATGAGTCGGTAAGTGTGAGTAGACTTTTAGCCATGAGTTTGGGTTATGAAGTGGGTTTCAATGAGGTTTTTTATGGTTGTGTGAGGGGTTGTCGATTGGAGTTTGAGGGCGTAGAGGTTGGTGATGGTTATAAGGTACTAGTATCCGGATGAAGACTAGTATTTAGAGAGCGATTGTCGGCTAGAAGTGCTCGATGGGGTTTTAGGTGAGGATGGCTATGGTGGTTGTTCAAGTGATAATAGGGGAGGGAGAGAGAGAGAGAATGAAGGTTATCAATGCGAGTGGGAGTGGTTGGAGTGATAAGGGATGAGAGATGAGGCTATATGCATTATAAAATCGGTTTGAGTGATGAAGGTGATCAACGATAGGTGGTGGTTGGCATTTAGAGGATGGTTATAGGCGATGAGTATTGTATGGCATTCGAAGAGTGGTCGTTGTCTAGGTGGTGGGAGAGAGTAGGGTTTGGTTATTTTCAATCGGAATGGCTCTCTTTGCCCTTAAAAGAAGAAAAAAGATGTTTAAATAGTGGGTTTTGAGGTTTTTTAGCTAAACTTTATTTTGGTCCTTTAATTTCTCTATCTTTTCTATTTTACTCCATCTCTTTTTCTGTTTCAATTGTATCCTCAATTCAAAGTTTGCAAGGACCTTTTCTTTCTTTCTTTCTTAACTTTTACCTAGGTTCCCTCTCGGTTTAATCATTTTCTTTTTATTTCTTTCAATCACACCCTCAATTAAATCTTTTTTGTCCCCATTCTCTTTTTTTTTTCAATTTACGCCCGAATTATTTTTTTACGCTTTTTATTTTTTTCTTTTTCTTCTCTATTTTTATTAATGATTATTCCATATTCTTTTTTTTCTTGGTATTTTTTCAAAAATCACAAAAATAAATAAAATTCATGAAAGCTAGTAAAAATAGCTTGAATTTTGAAAATCAAATTGATCAAGAAAAATATTTAATTTTTGACTTTTTTGGATTTTTTTTTTTTTTGAAAAACTTGTAAATTTGAAGGGGGTTAAAATTGGATGTGTCAATTGCCTTTTCTTTGCAAGGCTTACAACATAAAGTCATTGAAGTTTTTTTTTTTGAATAATAAATTATGTAAAAAAAAAATCAAAAAAGAAAGGGAAAACAAACCATAAACAAAATCAAGCAAAGAAATCAAAAAGCAAAGCCAAATAATGGGTTACTCATCCAAATATGTCAAATAAAATATTAAAGACTCGTAATCTGGTAAAAAAAAGTATCTCATAATCATAGGTTTTCTATAGCATTTAGAGTTATTACATAATAATCTCTCATCACATGAAAGATCATACATTCATATCTTATGTCAAACAAAATAAGATAAGACTCACAAGCTTGTAAACACAAGTATCCATAATCACAGCATTTACTACAATATTCAATGAGATCACATACCAATATTTCTTATCACATGCAAGATTATGTAGTCATAATGGCCATCAATGTGTTTGGTGCTCAAAGCATGATTTTTTGCGGTTTCAAATGATAAAAATAAAATCTTACCATCTTGGTAGAAGCATATGTCGTCACTGCCAAAGCATACACTTTCTTATTTTCTTTATTTGTATATCATCCGACTTAAATAGGTTTAAAGTTATAGGCTAATTGTTTTTATTAAGCTTATCTCGCTTATTCATCATATATTCCGATTATGCCTTTTATTTTTGTATTCTCTTGAAAGATTTCTTGGACCACTATTCCTATCACTTGAGTGGTGTTTGCTCTTTTGTTGAATGGAAAATCAATTAACCTCTCATGCCCTCTCGGGTAATGCCTTTAAGTGTTTAGACTTTTTGCCAACACATATGAAAAAATTTGACCCCAAAATCGTTGATCTAGCCTTATTTGTAACTAACCATAATTTATAAGAAAGGATCTTACAAGTTTCATAAAGAATGCCTTTTCATCTACCAAGTCTAAATAAAACTCGTACCATGTTATTATTTGTCAATTCAATGCTTTATCATATTTCATGAACAATATCAATCATAGAATCATGCATAAGACCAAAGAAATCATATGATACTAATAAATATTTAGCCATAACTTAGATTATCCCTTTACTAATTTAGACAAGGATAGTTGAAATGCTTGATCTCCTAATATTGACACGGCTTTGTGATCGAACCGATCATAGCATATCCCTAAGTGTTGGTGATCATCATTTATTTACTACCACTTCTCACCGTTGTTGCTCATATCATTCATCTTCTTTTGATGTTTGCACTTAATTTTAGAAATTTATCCTTGAACTTTTTATCAAATTCATAGGAAAACTCAATTGTCATTTTTTTTAAATTTTATGGATTAAGTTGTATATTTGAATAATTTTATTGAAGTAATTTGGATTATTCAAAAAAAAAAAAAGCATAGAGATATTCATAAAAAAGTAATCTCATTCGGAAAGATGTTAATTTTCTTAGTCAAAAGCCAAAAAAATATAATGTGAAAATTATGATGCAATCCTCAAAGTGATCATTTTTTGAGCTAAGTGAATGAAATGTATTTCGATCAAATAAAATTTTTGAAAAGAATTGTCTCTTTTTGAAATGTAATTGTCAAATGTTGACTCATGGAGCGCGAAATACTCTAATTGATTTTGCAAACTTAAAGGGCTTTGAAGAAAATTAGACTCAAATTGGTAGTTTTGCTTAAAAGATCTTGATTTTGTTTCTTTATTACCCTCTAGGTATTTGATAAAAAATCATGATTTAATGTCATAAATAATAATTCATAATGCATAAGCAAGTTAAGTTTTTGTTAAAAACAATTTTCTATTTTTCATTTGAAGGTAAAACTTATCAACACAAAATAAGCTATCTCTAATCATAAAAAAATATTTAAAAGCACATAACGTAGGCTAAGGTTTTAGCTTATGAATGAAAGGATAAACAATGCTTAAAAGGTTCTTGATGATATAAAGATTTAGGATCACTTAATTGTTCATGAAAATTTCCTTAAACATTCATCTTGACTTTATCATTTTGAGAATTAATCTTATTTTCTAATCTCAACTCTCCTTTTTCATGTTCACTCTTATTGTTTTGTAAGATTTCAAAACCCTTTCTTAACTTCAAATCATAATAAAGGTCCTCCGATGACCCTTTTTTAACACTTTCTTTTATCTTCTTATTATTTTAGAATCATTGCTAGTTTTTTCCATCAATTTTTTTTTTTTTTTTTTGCAAACCAAATCTCTCTCCAAATGTTTTCCTAAGATAACTTTATAGATTGTATGAACCTCTAAAATTACCCTAGATTATAAGGGATGATCTTAGTCCGGATTCTCATCGAAAGAAATCATTAAACCTCAAAGTTGGACAACAAAGGATAAAGTTTGTTTGTGAAAGGATACCCTAAAAATGACATTTCTTCATCATAAATGTGATTCTATTTAGGTCTACAAGTTCCAATTTTATTTAAAAGCCATGATTAGTTTATATAGAAAAAGTGATAGGTTGGGTGAGATCATGACATGAATTTGTATACTTATCATCATTTAAGATATCAAATCTTTTGGTTTTTTATCTAGAGTATCAATGTATTATCTTGGGCAAAACTACCCTAAAAAAGGTTTATTGGAAATGAAAAAAAGTGTTTTTAGTTTCAAAAAGAGGAATTGCCTCCTAGCATTTACATGACATATTTTAAAAAAAATGACCAATTTTGGAACATGTTGAACGAGCATGCCATTTTAGTCTTTCTAATTTGGATAATATAAAATAGTGAATGATACTTTCAAATAAATATCTCTTGATTTTAAATTAATAATAAATCATATCAAGAGAGTAGAAATTTTTTTTTCAAAAACATAACTCACTCCATAAAATTACAACAAGAATCGAAAATAGAATTTGAAAATTTGATAAAAGATAAAGATCTTTTCCACAAAATCAAGAAACATGTTTATTTCTTTGATAAGCTTAGTGTGCTCCATTATAGTTGTCATTATGCTCATTCTCATTTCACTTCTCTTCATCTATTATAATTAGAGTTAGGTCGATTGTTATTTAATACAATCATTTCGTGATTTTGAGATATAATTATATTAAATATTCCAAAGGTAGGATGAAAAGTACAAATGAACAAATAGAAAAAGAAGGTAAAAAAAAGGAGCTTAAGAAAAATTTCCATGATCTAGGTAATTAATATTATTGTGAAAGCATGATAAAGATTATGTACAATGAGTTTGTGAATATAAGTAACAAAAAAAAAAAAAAAGATTACTATGATAAGAAAATTACTCAACTTTGAAGACAATAAACACTTCCTCATCAAACCAATTGCTTAGCTCCCCCTTGATAAACTTATAGATGAGCTAGTCAATGTCAAAGGTCTCCTCAAGTATATGAATTATGATCTATAAAAGGGTCACCATATCACTACACCAAAAAAAGACTATAGGGGTAAAATGTTTGGGGGGTCAAGAAAATCGCCTCAAAATTTAATAGTTTTTAACCCATCTACGTTATAATAAAAAAAAATGGGGTAGTTGATAAAACCGCTCCACCCCATGTTTTAAGCCAAGGCGCTTGTACTTCTTTTTTTCTTTTTTTTTCTTTCTATTTTAGGTTTTGAAAAGGAGAAAGATAATTCTCTTAGGTTTTTTCTTCTCCTCCTCTTCTTCTTCTCCTCTCTTTCTATTTAACTAGGCATCATTAGAATCTTTTATACATAATAGAGAACTTCACTTCCTCTCTCCCTTACACCCTC